GAGGGAGAGAAGGAAGGGACTGGGTTCCTCAATGATCCATTGTAGATCTTCAAAAGTAAGTTTTGCACCATTTGCAGGCAAATGCTGCCCTGTCAGGTTTTGCATGGTGTGCTGTTGCTGCTATTGCAAAATAATAATAATTTGATTTGTTCCAGGTTTTTTTTTAAAATTGCATTATGTACCCTTTCAATCCGGTTGGGGCTCTGGGTGGTTTTCAGGGTGCATAATAAGGCGGCGTGAATAATGCGGAGATACAAAATGATACCTCGGTGTAATGAAACTCAGGTCTTGCCTTGGGTGGCTTCCAAATGGTCCGCCAACTTTCCCAATGGGCCTTATATGGGTGTCTGATCGATAGGCTGGAATTCGGATGGTCGCTCAGAAGAAGATCTCACGGAGGAACTTCGGTTTTTTAACTTGTATTCCATTCATAGCTAAGGAGCTAAGAGATAGTGGTGGAGCTTGATGTGTGTGGGTTGAAAAATAAAGCTAGGATAAAGAAAGTAGCGTTATCTGGGTGTTTTTTTATTGTGCAGCGGCAAAATATCTTGTTCCATCTCTTAAAAAGGATTAAATTGCAGGTTTGTTTATATGCCGATAGGGTGTCATAACAGACTCTTTTTAATTTTTGCCTTCCAGGTGAAACCGAGTGCATACACAGCCATTCCAAACTAACATATTTCAGGTTTCTAAATAATAAAATAATCTCATATTGCCCGTTGTGGCCCCACTATCTAAACATTGTAGTACAAACTTTAAAATATGTTTAGCACTTCTTTCTCCTTCCAGAAGCGTGACCCCAATTAGGTTTGCTGGAGAAATGCTTTCATATATTTAAGTAGAAATATATGCAAGTATAATTGTCACCTATGCTATGCTGTACTTTTACAGAGAGTATATGTTTTAGCATGTTGCTGTATACTGTATACTGAAGATTAAAAGCTGTAGAGAAGTAATTGTACCTATAGCGGCTAGAACATAGAATGGTTCGTTTTACTATGATTTGTTGAATAACTTGGCCTGGCTCACATATGAAGTTCAGCTATTAACCACAGATCGTGCTTGATTGGA